CTTGTGAGGTTGGATATTTTAAAGTCTAGCCGAGTTCTCGTATGCATCGTTGCCCAGTCTTGTCTATTGGAGCAGATCAAGGCTCGACAACTTGATGATCTGCACTTCTTAGTTCTCAAATAGATGGTACTACAAGGTGGCACCAAGGAGGTTACTATTGACGAGGATGATGTTCTGCGACTCCAGAGTCGCCTATGTGTTCCTAATGTTGATGGCTTAAGGGAGAGAATTCTAGAGGAGGCATACAATTCTCGGTATTCTATTCATCCAGGTGCTATGAAAATGTATCGCGACCTGAGGCAGCATTATTGGTAGTGGCGGATAAAGAAGGACATAGTTGAGTATGTTGCGAGGTGTCTAAATTTCTAGCAGGTTAAGTATGAGCACCAGAGGTCAGGTGGCCTACTCCAGCAGATGACTATACCTGAGTGAAAATGGGAGCGCGTTACTATGGACTTCGTAGTTGGGTTGTCGCGGACCTTGCAGAAGTTTGATGCAGTTTGGGTCATTGTTGACAGGTTGACCAAGTCAGCACATTTCATTCCAGTTGTGACAACGTATACTTCATAGAGGTTGGCCCAGATTTATATCCAGGAGATAGTTCGGTTGCATGGTGTGCCTGTTTATATCATATCACATAGAGGCCCTCAGTTTACTTCACATTTCTGGAGATCAATATAGAGTGAGTTGGGGCCCGTGTAGAGCTTAGCACATCCTTTCATCCACAGACCGATGGGCAATCGGAGCGGACAATTTAGATCTTGGTGGATATGCTCAGAGCACGTGTGATTAACTTTGGAGGGCAGTGGGATAGATTCTTGTCTTTGGCCAAGTTTGCTTACAACAACAGTTATCAGTCCAACATCGAGATGGCTCTATTTGAGGCATTATATGGTTAGCGATGTTGTTCTCCCATCGGATGGTTTGAGCCCAGTGAGGCCAAGTTATATGGTACTGATTTGGTGAAGGATGCCTTGGAAAAGGTAAAGTTGATTTAGGAGCGACTTCGCACAGTACAATCCATACATAAGAGTTACACGGATCAAAAGGCGCGTGATTTATCATTTATGGTAGGCGAGAAGGTTCTCTTGAAAGTCTCATCAATGAAGGGGATCATGAGGTTCAGGAAGAAGAGAAAGTTGAGCCCAATGTTTATAGGTCCATTTGAAGTGTTGAGATGAGTTGGGAAGGTTGCTTATGAGCTTGCTTTTCCTCCCAGTCTATCAGGAGTTCATCCGGTTTTCCACGTGTCTATGATCCGGAGGTATCATGCCGACAGGTCACATGTGTTAGACTTCAGCACGATTCAGCTAGATGAGAGCCTGGGTTATGAGGAGGAGCCAGTTACCATTGTTGACAGGCAGGTTCGCCAGTTGAGGTCCAAGAAAATTTCTGCGATAAAAGTTCAGTGGAGGGGCCAACCAATCAAGGAGGCAACCTGAGAGGCCGAGGAGGACATGAGAAGCAAATATCGACACTTATTTAGCACTCTAGGTATGACTCTAGACCTGTTCGAGGACAAACGTTTGTTTAAGAGGTGGAGAATGTAATGACCCGATCGGTCGTTTTACTTTTTAGAACCTCGTTCCCCTAAATATGACTCCCCGTACGTGATTTTACTATTATATAACTTGCGGATATGGTTGGTTCGGAATGTGAAAGAGCTCGGGTTGAAATCGGAACACTTGGTTCCATGGTTTGGCTTTAAAAGGCTAAGTTTGACTTTGGTCAATATTTTGAGTAAACGAACTTTGAATCAGGATTTGACAGTTTAAAAAGGTTTGTATCATGATTTCGTACTTGGGCGTACGTTCGGATCGGGTTTTGGATGATCCGGGAGCGTTTCGGCGCCTAATAGTAAAAATTGGCTCTTTAAAGGTTGTAAAGTTCTTTAAATTTGGTTTGGAGTAGGTTTTGGTGTTATCAAGGTCCAATTGGGTTTTTGAGCCTGAGAATAGTTTCGTATGGTGATTTAAGACTTGCATGCAAAATTTGGTGTCATTCCGAGTAGTTTAAGTAGGTTTCGGTGCATTCGGAGTAAGTTTGAAGAACTTGAAGTTCTTAAGTTAATTCAATTTGGTTTGGGGTGTGATTCCTAGTTTTGTTGGTGTTTTATGCGTTCCGAGGGTGCAAGCGAGCCCGTTTTATGATTTGAAACTTCTTGGTATGTTCGGACTCAGGGGCCTTGGGTGTTAATCGGACGAGGCTCGGACCAAGTTTGGACTTGGAGTAGCAGCTGAAGCTTCCAGCTTCTAGTCTAATTGCACCTGCGCTTGGCCAGCCGCAGGTGTGAGCTCGCAGAATGAGCCTTTGACCGCAGAAGCGGCCCAATGTGGGATGCCTAGTAGCTGCAGAAGCGGGCGAGGTATCGCACCTTCGGAGACGCAGGTGTGAAGGAGGCCATTGTAGGTGCGGACTAAGGTCGCAGGTACGGCGCATGTGCCGCAGGAGCTGTCTCGCAGAAGCGAGTTTCTGGTCGCAGAAGCTAGGGGGGCCAGCTGATGAGAGGACCACATTTGCGGGGCCCTTTTTGCGGATGCGGAGCCGTAGAAGCGGCCAAACCTCCGCAGATGCGAAAATCGCATAAGGAAGAACCTCAATTTAATGCGGGACTTAGGCATTTTGAGCTCATTTATTTCATTACTTGGGCGATTCTTGGAGCTCTTAGAGATGAGTTTTCACCTAACACTTTGAGGTAAGTAATTTCTACACAATGTGAGTTAAATACATAGATTATGGATAGATTTAACATGTAAAATTTGTGAAATCATGGGTTTATATGAAAAACCTAGGTTTTGATAAAAATGGGATTTGACCACGAAAATGGTTATGAAAGTTAGTGAAAATTATATATTCGAGTTCGTCAGGCTATGGGTCACATTTATCTTCGAAAATATCCGGAATCCGGGGCACGTGGGCCCGGGGGTAAATTTTAGGAATTCTTCAATTGGGGTTGGGAAATCACTTTAATCGTTAGGTTATGAACTTTTGAACATGTATTGATTATTTTATATAACATTTTTTCGAGTCATTTGGCACCGAGTTGAGGGTTTAAAGCACAATTGTGGACCGAAAAGTAAGCTTTGAGACGAGGTAAGTCTCCTTTCTAACCTTGTAAGAGGGAATTAACCCCATAGGTGAATTAAATTAATGTGTGCTTCTATTTGTGGAGGATACGTACGCACGAGGTGACGAGATCCGTACGTAGCTACTAATTATGCTTATGTTCGGATATTCTTAAGTTTAAACTATGCCTTGTTGACATCATTATTTGATTATGCTTATTAATTGCATTGAATAAGAGTTGAGATTGAAGGATTTCAAGATTTAAAGTTCCAAGTTTAGATTCCTTATTTTTGGAAAGAATTTAAGAATATTATGATAATTTTGAGAAATCTATGTTCACTCGCGTCACAAGTATTTTTCCGCGAGCAAGGTAAATTTCACTATTCTCATTGGAGCGGATCGTTCGCCTTGGCAGGTTAATAGATGCATCTATGGTTCGTGTCATTCGACCCTCGGCAGTGCACAGTTTATATATTTATATGTTGGATCGGGTCGTACGATCTCGACATAATCCGGGCTTAATACTACTTTGAGCCCAATTTTAATTGATATTGTTTCATTGGATTAAGAGGTTAAATTGTTAAATGATGGAAATTTACTTGGAAATTATTATCAGTAAAGAATGATTTGTTTATTTCTTGTTATTGAGTTTTACAGTTTCATTATATAGCCCATGTCTATTTAGAATTTCTATTACTTTATTGTTAGTCCATAGTAAGTGTCGGAGTCGATCCCTCATCACAACTTCTTCGAAGTTAGACTAGATACTTACTGAGTACATGTTGTTTCTTTACTCACGCTACACTTCTGCACTAAATGTGCAGGATATGAGGCAGGTGCATCTGGATATCAGTCCGGCGCACATCTTTGATTTTCACGAGACTTTGCGGTAAGCTGTCTTCCGAACCCGTTCTACAGCAACCGAAGTCTTTCTTTTGCTTTTATTTTCTATCTAGTTCAGTTCAGACAGTAGTGTAGTATTCTTTTGTATATTCTACTAGTAGCTCATATACTTGTGATACCAGGTCTTGGAGATTAAGCTAGTAGACACATGATGATTTTTGGTTATTTATTTATCTTATTTGCTCTTAAAAATTATTTATCTCTCTTATTAAATTCTCACTTATTACTTATGCACTAATTAAAAATCAGTTATTTCTAAATTGTTAAAATAAACAATTATGTGGTTAATTCACTGTTGGCTTACCTAGCGATAACGTTGGGCCACCTCACAGCCTATAAAAGTAATTGGGTCGTGAAAATTACGAGAAATCTTAATGGATAAGTTAAAACTTAAATTCATTCGAGAAGATATTGGGAGATTTGTTCCGGGCTTTTACTTGCAACTTGTACACGAGTAATGACAATGTTGCCCTCATTTGACTGTGGAACCTGTGATTCACCCTAAGCAGGTCCAAATTAATTAAGGAAACCTAAAATAAGTAATCATATCGATCAGTCAACTACTAGGCTTTAATCTTATATAAGTTTGTATTGGTTATATGAATCCTCTATATCGATCTATTAAACTTTATTCATGCCTATTTTATTTCAATAATACAAGAAGTACAACTGACAAGCAAAATTTGAGCTATAGCTTTCAAATGTGAGTAAACCTGAAAATTTTGAGCTATTAGCTATAGCTTTCTTTAACTTATTTAATAAATCCTGAAAATTCACTACTGAGTAAACCAAGAAATGAGTAAAACAAGATGTGCACCACATAAAAGGACCAAGTATATCACATTTATTTTTCTTTGATCAAACAGTAATTAATCTGACACTTACCAACCAAAATAATTACTCCCTCCGTTCCAATTTATTTGAACCTATTTTCTTTTTAGTCCGTGCCAAAAAGAATGATCTCTTTCCTTATTTGGAAACAATTTACCTTTACGCATAGATTTATAGCCACACATAATATATGTGCCTCATTTTAGACCACAAGATCAAAAGTCTTTTCTCTTTTCTTAAACTCCGTACCGACGAGTTCACATAAATTATGGAGTACTACAACTTTCAGAATTAGTTACAGAACAGGAAGGACTTTTTTAACAATCTCATCACTAAGAGCAGCAATCTGAGAGTCTAGACTCTTGATTGTCTCCTCCTTTTGCTTGTCCAAGCTAGCCAAAGCTTCTTGTAACTCAGCCTCAACTTTCTTTCTTCCTTCTGCAGTCTTCTGCTCCACTTCTAGTTGAGTCTCCCTTTTCATCTTGTTTAGTGCTGCTGATATTTCAGCTCTTGCAGCTTTCATAATAGCAGCAGCTTGATCTTCCAATTGCTTTACTTCTGCAGATGTGTCCTTTACACTATTTAATTTCTCCTTAATTGAAGAATCTCTTTCATCCATGAATTTCCCTAATGGGGAAAAGTAAAGCTTGTCTAAAGCAAACATGAGAAAGAGGAATTCAGCCATGATTATTGGAAGTGTTAAGTTGAAGTCAAAAAGGGAAGCTTTTTCAATTTCTTCTGCTAGTGAAGGTGGTGCTATGGCCAATGAGCTAGCAAGAATTACTGAAATGGACTTGAAATTTGATGGGAGGGAGAGGGGTTTGTGGGATTTGAGTAATTTGGGGAGGGCTAGTTTTGGAAGGGATATTTGAGGGAGGGAAAGTTTGAATCTTGGAGATGGAGATGAAGTGATTATGGCTTTGGAGGAGGCCATGATCATGTTGGCCATGGTTTATTTCTGTTCTTCTACAAGTAGATATGAATAAACACTTAAGATATTTGCAGTGGTAATTTCTTCTTTCTTCAGAGGGTTTGATTCTTGATTTTTTGGCGGTGTTTTAGATGAGAAGGAAAGATCTCAGAAAGACTCTCTCTCAATCTATGCCACACAATATGATGAGGCTGAGGTCTTCTTTTGTTTTTTCTTTTTTATTTCTTGTTTGTTTTTTTTAGAGTGAAATTGTCCCGTGCCCTTTCTCGCATATCCTTGTTCTAGTATTTGTCAAGACCCAAACGCATTTAGTATGTACAAAACTGTAGTATTAGTTGGTAGTCTTTTGATTTGATTCACCTAGAGTGGTCTACAAGTGACTAATCTATGTATATGTTAAATTTGAAAAGTCTTAAAATTTCGAGCAACAAACGTTAGGGATTCCTGGAAAATTGACTAAGCTACCAGGATTTAAGTTGAATATACTAATAGCGAAAAAAATTTATACCATCAGGTTAGTTTATAATAGGTTAGTTAACATCTTTACTAGATTACTGATTGATGTTTATCATCGGATTTACATGTAACTACATCTTAAATGATCTAATTGTATAAGTATTTTTTACAAGTGCGTGCAACTAAGGTCTTCCAAAATACTTGTGGAGATCCCAAGCCAGATTGCAGAAGTTCAAGTCTGATGATAAATGGATTTGTTCTTTTCACTGACCAAGTGATACATTGATATTTGTGTATTTCCGTTCTTAGGCAAAAAGGATAAAAATCAGCATTTGATTACACGGAACCAAGAAATGGCGTAAATAGAGAGGAAATGATGTCGGGGATCTTTAGCACAATCCCCAATATTACATGCCTAACACCAAGCAATCATGTCTAGACAACTAATTGTCATCTGCAAAAGAGGAAATGGAACAGATGCTAGCAATGACTTATCTTCTATGCAGAATTGGCCTGGACACTGAAATCAATGGAAGTCAGGTTTGGAGCTTCAACCATAGGTGAATGCTTTCCATTTCACCCTCCAACTCATGTGCAAACAGTTATTGGATTCCAGACTTTCAAAGATGCTGGTTATTCGTTGTTATCCAAGTCTCTTGATTCCATAAGAAAACCATCGTGTGATCTCGATGCACTCCTTTTGCGTGTTATTCTCCTCTCCGGGCTTGCCAATTTGTATGGGAACCACCCTCTAAACAAATGGACCAACCTGGATTCGCAATTGGCAACAACACCCCTGTTATGGTCATGAATATTGTTTTGATGGTTCCCTAAGTCAGGTTGATGGTGATTATCCTCTTGATCGCCTTTCCGCTGTCTGACTTCACAGCCTTTAGATCTGCAAAATGCATTTTCCAAGATGGAGTGATATTATCTAAATTGCTCTAACAATGCCACTATGCTAGAAAAAATCATATATCTAGTTAACTTCTCCAGCATGCAGTTTCATAAAAATATGCATCAAACCCCTGCAACACTTAGTCCATTCTTTCTCACACAAAGTGAAATGGGCAGGCTTACTTTAGCATGATAGCAAAGAATAGCACAAAAGACATGGTAAACTGCAATATTTCTATATTAGTATCATGAACCAACAAGTACCCACAAACGAAAATAATTGGTATTTGGTAGGATGAAAGCCAATATAGAGAACTTACATACTAGGTTCATTATCGTTGAGGTCCTCTCTCTCCGATCGTGTCTTGACCAGATTGTAACTAATGGAGACATGCCTCATAAAACTAAGCTGCAAATCCAAAAACTTAAAGCATTAGAGCATTAAGGAAATATTCAAACAGTTCCACTTGATAGCATGTAACAGAGATGCCTTTTATAAAGGAAAAAGAATTGCATCTCAAATGATGGATAGCCAGGCATCCATCTAAAACCTCTATAAAGTTTAAACTTGTAATGTACAGAGTTCTCCGGTTTTGCAAATATTCAGCTTTTTAATATTTTGCAAGTCTTTCTTAACCCCGGGATGGAAAAGAAATTGCTTGATACTCATAAAAGCAAAAATACAGATCACAATGGCTAAATAAGCAGCCTAGTGACATAAACCGCAGCCTCTGTTAGTCTATCAGTTGTTTATGTTTGGTCAATACACCATCATAAAGGGCATTAAGCAATTCTAGTAAATCAAAGTATCCTAAGTTGTTGGGGCAGAATTTTGCAGTTATGCTCTGAGATTGTTTTCCGCATTCTGTTTATACCAGATATGTTGATCTGCACAGTCCCTCCGTCATGGATTTGTTAGCTTGAGAGGCTAGGGGTTAAGTAAATCTTTTTCTGTTCAAATGAGGTCACCAAATGGAAGTCATAACTAGCACTGTGGTATGAACTCTGTTACATGATAACTAGGCATCAGAACCTGCATTTTACATGTAACTCTTGGGACTGTATTCACCTCTTTTAGTGAACAAGAAATGGCTGTGTTTTCACATTGAGAATTATTTGCAAATGAAGATGTATCAAAAGGATCTTAGTGGCTTCTTACTTTCCAAACGGATCCTCCTATATCAAAGCAACACTCCTACAATAGATAAAAGCAATTTTCCTAAAAAGTCCAATGAATTGAGAAGAAACCTTATCACCATCCTTGATCCGATAAGTTCCCAACAAATCACTATCAGTAAGTAGCTTCGTCCCGTCATAGCTCAAGCAAAAATGCCCCCACACATGTGACCTGCAACAGTACTATTATGAGGATTCATCATAAATTGGCAAGCTTTACGCTGGAAAAGAAGTGAATGCTACACTACTTATGGGGTTTGATTTCTCTAGTTAAGATGATATATAGTGGAAAAGCTGGTAAATTATGTCAGACAGAAATCTGCTTCCACGACATTCTACCATGTTTATATAAAGTAACAGCATTCAACTGTTAGGTCCTTTCAAACCGAGTCATCTTTTTCAATTGATCATAGAGAGACAAGTTGAATCATGAAGAAGCTACAAATGAAGAAGTTTAGTTGCTAAAATAAGAACCATAAAGAAATTAATAGGTCAAACAGATGGAAAATAAAAACTGTACCCCTTTTTCAGCCAACAATCTAATACAGGCCAATAACTGTTGCCTTGGAACACTTTTCATCTGGAGACATGGGAAAAAGCCCTGATATCAAAACTTCACATGGTAATGCTCACAAAAAAGAATTCATGCAGAATCGTAGGAAATGGCCCTATGGTCTAATAGATGAATTTTCAACTACAACTCCTTGAACCTACTACCCCCAATTCCCACCCCACACACATACTTGCGCGTTTTTTATATTTGCAGCATTACCCTGTGCAATGTACATACCATGAAACCTTGCCTGTTCCCGCCTTTGGGAAATGACTGAAGGCAGCTTCCACCGCCTGCTTGAGCTCTGCCACTGTCGCATTCCTTGCTACTTTAATATCTGCAGAACACTAAATTCAATTGATCACAGACCATTTGGTCAAGTAATACATCAATGCTGGTGCATAATGGGCGGATCTAGGTCGTACACAGAAATTGTGGCGGTACCCACTGTCCCAGTACCGAACTATATATGTACATTAAAAGATTAAAAAACATATTACACACACAAACAAGATAAGGAAAAACAAGGAAAGAAACACGCGCACACATATATTCTAAGGGTGTACAAACATCAATTTCAGTATCAATTTCACAATTCAAGCAGAGGAGGAAAATAAGAAAAAATTACCAAAGGAAGAGCCATCCAATTTGCGGACAGTGAGCTTGAGGGGTTCCTCAGGTAGCTTGTTATAAGACAAGCTCTTTTTGGGGATGTTATCAATGAGCAAGAATGGCGGAACTACACAAGACAGTGATGATCCATTCCTTTGAAATGAATATCTAGGGCTAACATCTTCCTCCCTCTCTAAAACTTCCATAACTAAAACACCATACAAGTACTAAAATTATAACTTCTTCTACTCCTATATTGATTCATATCACCATTTTAAAGAGCTCTTCTCCTTAGATTACCTAGTTTGAGAGATAATAATTATTAATATTACTATTATATATTTTGTGATTCTTTGGTGCAGATTTGAGGTTGTGGTTGGCTTATGTGGGAGGAGATTCTTGGAACAGAAATAATTGAATTGCTTTCTACTCTCACTTTGTGCTTATTGTTTGGTGCTTTTCATGTTCTCGGGATTCCTGGGAATTAACCGTTCACATCACGCGCCACAGATGGAGCGTGCAGTAATTGAGTGACAAAATTTAGACCCCCTCAGAGTGCAGACCCATGATTATGTTAGCATTTTTGCGATTATTACATTCTTATGTCGTAAACTATATTATCTCTTGAGTTTCAATATAATTACCTTTTATATACTTAATTATCATTTATGTACATTTAGGTGTTTTAATGGTATTAATTAGCCTCCTAATTTAACTCTACTGTATATTCCCACTCCCCCAAGTTTCTCTCTCCAAATCCCACCCTCTCCCCCACGTATCAAATCACACCCCACGATTTCCTCTTCAATCACTCATTATTTCCTCTTCTAAAACCAGCGAAAATCTGTAACTCATCCACTATTGACAAACATTAACAAGCTTTGAATCATTGAATTCAAATTTAGATTTTCAAAAAACATTGTTTGTTTGGATTGGATGTTGTTGCAAAGAATTGAGAATTCTCTTTACGTCTCTCTCTATCTCTCAATCCCAAATTTCAGTAATATAAAGAAAAGGAAAAGAGAGCGGCAATTCCACCATTGATAGCCATTAAAAAGCTTTGAAGCTTTGAATTCGAATTTGGGTTTTCAAAAATCATTATTGTTTGGATTGGGTGTTGTTGCAAATAATTGGGAATATGGTTTGGAGTTTATATTTCAATTTTGAGGGGTTTTGGTGAAGATTAGACTTGATTTTAGCTGAATTTCAGATTGAAACTCGAAGAAGAAGGCGACATGACATACATTATATTGTAAAAATTGTAGAAAATTTGTAT